TTATATTTATATATTTATGTACATAGATATATTTTGTGTACATGTCCATAATAATTATAACAACAATTTGATTCATAAGAGTTTGATGAACCGAAAATGATATCATAAGTATAATTTTCAACTCGTGGTTAAAATCATTCTTCTCACGCAAATCACATTTAGCATTTTTTAAACAATTGTAATTAATACCCGTGGAAATTTGCAGAAACATAGACCATTTTCGTGGATGTGGTTGAAAATGTGGTGCATCGCGTGGTGGCACAGTGGCCGCGAGGACGATGACGAAGAGGAGGACATCGAAGGGGCCGAGAGTAGTCGCACAGGCCATGCCTATGACGAAGCTATAACACCGTTATCAGTGGAAACCCCTCTTACTGGTACGGTCTCTCGATCTGCCTCTCTAAGTGGGATCCATCCTACCACGTTAACAGTTGAAAAAGCCATCAGTATCGCTGATAACCACGATTACAAAAAAACTGGGAAAACAGGCGAATTGACGACAAAAAGCATCTCCAGTGATTCTGTACGTTTAGATTTAATAACACTCTGTCAATTTTGCACGAACGTTCGATATCCCGCATGTTCCATAATCGCTTCACTGTTGTTAGAAGGTACGTATATCATGTTGTTACAGATGAAATGGTCGATTTTTATAAAAACCTGTACGTTTTCTAAAAATAACGTTCAACGACTGAAACATGTTTTCTTGCGATTAACCCATTAACTACTAAATTTCTTTTTTTGAAATTTTTCGCCGGATAAGTTATATATATATATATATGCACAAAGGATTGTGTAACAGTATAATTATATTTAAATTATGTTTTGTTTTGAAAATATTTGATGTTTTTGAAAAAGTCCCAAAATGGGTATCGTTATAAAATGATCAATAAAATCATTTCAATAAAAAACAGAAGTCTGAGTAAATAACAAATCGTTCCTATAACCTCTAAATTACATATTTATATATGGTATTTCATTGTAATATAAAAATCAAACCAAAAATATAATGCTTCAAATATGACAATTCTGTTCCGTCCAACTTACTCACGAATTTCAAATTTGTTCGCTTGTTGCATAGAAACGAAGCACAGAATACACACTTTTTGTTACATACGATATTGACAGATATATATAGAATAAAATTAAACTGTCAGACATACCAAATATATTTTTGACACCGAATGGATCCCCAAATCGTGGCAGCTAATGGGTTAAGGTGCAGACTGAATTCGGTGTACCTCATATCTCCTTTATTTTTAATAATATGAAAAATGTTCTTGGTGAAATTTAAACGGTTCTTAAAAAAAGAATACCATAAAGAAGAAGAAATTTATTTGGCAGCTGTCTTTTTCAGTTTCTCCCGATATTTTTGGTAAAATTCTACGTTGATTAAATTCTCCCCAATCTTGATAACACTGAAATATGTAAGTAAGACAAGTGTTGGGCTAACGTTGGCACACACGTTGCTACGGACGCATATGTGTACGATGAATTATATGTAGTAGTAGGAATGGAATTTTGCTAAAATATTTCAAAAATTAAAGCCAGTCCCGTAATATTGTACAGAAAAAGGTTGTTCAAAATTTGACACGCATTAATATTTCAAGGTCATAAAAATAATAGGAGATGTTGTCAATATATTTACATATATACTTTTAACACTGATTTGAAATGTTATTATACGTACAGAATGAATTTTACAATAACTAACACAACTGAGACTAAAACCTGAAATATTTTCATTCTTTTCAACTGCAAAATAAGTATTTAGGAAATAAAATATGTGTGTCAAAGGGATAAATATTGTGATAGAAATTTTTCCTTCAGAAATATATTTTTTGGGATTCAAAGATCGTCAAAATACATCGAAAAAGTGATGTATTTTCTTCATGCTGCAATATTATAATTGACAAAATATTTTAAAAATGTATACCTCGTAATGTCTTTTAATAACGTAATTTTTATAGATTTAATATATACATGCTGGTTATATTTTGTAACATGTTATAGATGAACAAATATAGACACTATAATGGTGCAGTCTTAAATGTATCACATTGTATACATATATTTCATTAATTTTATTTTCTTGAAGGAATTTGTGTCTGATAAATTCCAAAATGTCGGACTTATTCATTAAAGTAATCTCTTCAATTCTTTTATTAATAATCATTTTCATATAATATAATATATTCAATTCTATACACTATTTTATAATACAGAAATCATTAAAATAATAAAATTGATGCTAAAGTAAAAGAAAAATGTGAAACGATTTAATAGAGATTATTATAAACCATCAAACTGTCATTATAATTTCAAGAAATTATACTAATTATATCGAATACCATCCAGCTTTACCTGTGATTAAATAATTAGTAAAAAATTTGTAATGTTTATAAAATTTACCATTTTAAACATATTAAGCTAATAATGTCTAATTGTTAACAATTAATAATAAAGAAATGGTAGAAAAAAATTACAGATATTACATAAAATTACTTATGCTATAACTACTCAAAGAATAATGGAAAATGTTGATAAATGAAATCATATAAAATCGAAATAATGGAAAAGTGTGCAAAATTAACACTTTTATAATATCATTTGTTATTTGAAATCAGGATATGAACTATTGAAAAATCAATTCCTTGTTTCAAATACAAATTTATACCAAGGTTTTAAACCATCTTATGAATACTAGAACGTAATGAACACATTTCAATGAATAAATATAATATACTAATACTTTATTATTATAAATTTATCAATATTTCTGGACAAGTACTTAGTCCAAAAATAATTATCTCAATAATTGACTAGTTGAAACTAAATGGAATAATATTTTTTCGAAAAAATTGACTTTGAATTTTCTATTTTTATACTTATACTTCTGTACTTCAGGAAAAAGCTATTGATTTCCTTTTCTCCTTCAATCTGTTTTAAACAATTCAATATATATCCATCAAATATTAAATATTTTTCTTTATAAATATATGATTTTTTGAAATCGTATTATATAAAAAATGTATTATTTGTAGTTATTTGAGAAAGAATATCAGGCCATAACAGACAAAATTAACAAAGGGTCAACAAATCAAAGTGTCGTAACCAATTGAAGTACTTTTATATACCGATTTTACTCATTATGAAGATGATTACTGAGGCCATTTTATTTTACAATTTGACAATCGTTTTTTCCTTAAAAATTTTGTTTTGTTTACATTACATGAGCTTTGACATAAAAATAATTAAAGGAACTGAACTATTTTTGTAAATTGTTTATATTTGTAAATAAATTTGTACTATTGTTCAATTTAGTACTTATTGCTAGTTTACGTTCTTATAAATCTTTAAATGAATTAGACTATATTTATTTTATACCTACAGAAATATAAACTTACACGTTGCAACAATTATTTTATTTTATTTTTTGATAACAGAAAGGTACAAACAATTTTAGATCTATTTTAGAAAACAACAATTCACTGCTTTATATTAAAAATTTAAATTATTTTAAATTTAACAATATGATTTACAGAATATACATGGTATTCGGAGAGCTTATGACATTGGGCACTGAAGAATTGTATTACGTATTACATTGGGTCACAAAGGGTGTGGTCGCAATAATACGCAACGATCGAACATGATGGGGTGATTTCTCAGTTAAAAATAGATTGAAAATATGAGACATAGAACGAAGCTTTTCAGTGTGTGAGAAACAAAATGAAGTTTTCTAATTTAAAAACACAATAGAAAAATTAGCCAATATCCAACTGAGATGTTATTTATTTTCTATATACTAAATTGCGTAAAATTAAAAATATACTTTGAATAATCAAAAATATACCTCAGAAATTTAGATGAAATACGATAAAACAAAAAACTGTTAAATGCCTTTGAATATTGAAAGCATATATCATCGGTGAAAATATGCAATCATTTAACAAGCAGGATATCTTCCCAATCAAAAACAAAGGCAGCATTTGCAACGATTATCCTTAGGAAAGATGTAATAAAAAAATAATGTTTGTAAAAGTGTGTCATATAAATCTATCAATTGAGATTATATATTATAAATTATTATAAGACTGAATAACTGTTAAGAAATAATATTTGTTTACTAACTCATTGCTGTTTAATAGACCAATAATTTAACAATTGCCACTAAACTACGAATTTTTATGCAAATCGTGTATATTTTATATATTTCATACACAAAACAAATCTGAATACATTACATATGTTCTACAATTTCTATATATTAATATAGAATGATATTGTATATTACTTCCTGTTACTTTTCCATATTACGAGTTGTAAGCATTACCACTTTATAATAAGTCTATTAAAAAATGCAAAAGATGATGTTGATTGTAAAAAAATGTCAGTGCATTGAGGTATTTGTTTAATTTTATCGGTTTGACTTAGTGAATTGTTCAAATCTCTAATAAAATATGTAAAGAGAGGAATTTAAAGGAAATTATAATTTGAGAGGCTTGGTTAGAGGTAATACTATTTTATGTGAAGCATTTAGAGGCAATTAAAGGGGGTAATAATTTAAATTTTTTTCAATTCTTCTGATCACTAGTCAAATTCCGAACACTAATTAAAACTGCATTATTTTAAAGAGCGTCAGCCAATATCTCAGCTCGATACTGAAGAAAATTTAAATATCTACTAACCATAATTTGTCATATTAGATTATCATACAGAAAGGTAATTTTCTGCTATAAATTAATGTTTTCAGGCAAGCGATACCATTTTACAGTAGAAAATCTCAAAAATTAAAAACTAAAATTAAAATAATTAAAATTGCAATAAAATTATTAATACGTTATAAACCTATATATAATACATATTATGTAATATATACATAAATTCTGCATAATGGCAACAGATTATTTACATAAACGATTCTTGCATGTTCCTTACATATCACTTGCATATTTGAACAAATTTCAGTTGTATAAAAATCCACAGTTCAATTATCACCAATCGACGCAAGGAGTATGAACGAATTTAGGATTAAACATTAGGAAAGTTAAATATAACGAACGAATCTGCACGTCCTAAAATGTGATACAAAATTATGAAAAGAACTACAATAAACTTTTGAAACGTCATTAGAAATATTAACTTAACTTCATAACTTCATCATTCGATACACTTTGAGTGTCAAAGGATCTCACGAATTCTGAAGAATGAAGTATATAGATGTATTAGAATAAATTAGAAGATTTTAATTATTAATAGATCAGATAAAGCGTAACAAATCTTAGCCCAACTTTCTAAGTCATTCTTAACTGAGAAAGTAGAAGTCGTGCGAGTATCAGTCACTTTAACGTTTGACAATCTGTTGAATCTTAAGGAAGCATTCCATCCAAATTTTCACTAATTTGTACAGGTTGTAGACGTTGAAAACTATCGTGTAATACACATCTAACTACACATAACATCACGTGCACTACACGGAGAGAATTTTTTAATGAGAGAAACAAGTAATAATCGGATGGGGCAAGGTCTGGTGAATATGGAGGATAAGGTAGAACGTTCCAATCAAATTGTAAGGGTTTCTGTCTAATAAATATCACAAATCCGAAATCGAAATAAAAACGCACCTCGATGAATATTTTGAAAGTAAGTCTCAACAATTTTGGAAAGAGGGCATAACGAGGCTTCCTGAGAGATGGAAGAAGGTAATAGAGCAGAAGGGTTCATATATAACACAGCAAATCAACCTTAAACAACAAATATCGTCTATTGATTTCGCATCAAAAAAAAAGGAAGAAACTTATGGGACACCCTAATATATAAGAAGAGTAGAAATTGAAAACACGTTTTACTGGATGTGTAAAAAGAGTAGAAAGAAAGGAAATAGCAAGTAATACATATGTATGTATGTATATAACGTTAATGTCGGTGAAAAGAGTGTCGACGATTATCGGTAATCTCATCAAGTCGGTTAATTAATATTGTCGGCGAAATTAATGTCGGTCAAATGGTGTCAATCGAAGCGTTATCGGTGAAACGATTGTCGCTGATTTAATACAAACTATCAAACTAATGTGTGTGCACATATCACATCTGTTATCTCCACAGGTTATATTTGGTTAGTTGCAAGTTGTAAATTGATGTATAAATACTTTACTTATAAAATCGACCATTTCATATACCATAAGCAATATATATATTCAACACCTTTTCAAAGCCGATTTTTTTTAAAAACAGAACCTCATATAAAAGAACAGCATTTTATAGCTTTAACTTTCTTTCCATAACAAAAGCTCATGTTATGGATATTTCTCATTGATGTACATAGGTGTATCTTTCAACATGCAACACTCAATTGTTATGTAAGTTTAATTGTCAGTAATCACATAAAAAATAAAATAAGTAATTTATAAAAATATTATTAAAGTAATTTCGGATATATTTAACTACCAACATTAGTAATGCTTCGTTAATTTAATTATAACGATTATTAATTTTATTAATTAACTTGAAAACGTTTTCAAGCCAAACTATCACGCATGTGGATGAAAGTATGTAAATGTACAGCATGATACTGTAGACATGGAAATGAGTATGATAACGTAGTAACTCGAATGTTATTTATCAAAACTGAAACGAACGAAAAATTTATACTTTTTGCACAAAATAATTGCTTAATTTCTTAGATAAACTTTAAAGTTTATAGACAAAAGCGAACACGAACTATTTTATTCATGTATTTACAATTTCAAAATATAATAGATCTTGTTGCATGATGTTTCGCAAGAAATTAAGCATGGAGATGTAAGAAATAGACGCATGGATTTTTAAAATTTCCTTCTTCCTTCTTCGTACTTTAATAATTCTGATATTAGAACTTTCTAATTCCTATATTTTTATTCTAATTTCTAATTTCTAATATGTATATTTTCAAACAATAAAATATTTCTTGTAGTAATTATAATATGTGGAATTTTCAGTTATATTATCATTAATTTTAATGTACATCTAACAATTTTAGTTTTCACGTGCATATTACAGGTATAAATATTTTTCATAGGTAAGCTAAAATTTGATGTTGAAAAATGTGGTACAAAATAAGCAGAAATCGTATACACATGCAATGTATCAAATTTATGAATTTTTGCAAAGGTTTCTGTTACAGTACAAATGTGTTTGGTTTTATTTTACTTTCCGTAACAAAGCTTTAAAAGTGATAGTACCTTATATCTGTTAGTATGTCATTTAATACAGAGACTACAGCTTTCCGTTCTTAATGGTTCATTTGTGACAATTTTTTTATATTTATGACATTATGTTATAACATTGTTCATATCAGCAGTTATTAGAAAATTAAACTGCAGTAGAATCCAATTGATTTACAGAGTTTTATTGTAAAATGGAAATTCATAGTTAATTATTTTAATAGCAAGACGTAATATTTACAATTAATTACATTTACTGAATTATCGTTGATGTAGGCTTCGTATGAAACAATCTTCTTCGTTTGCTAACAAATATTTTATGTTTAAAGCTTTGTTACTAATACGATAATATGTTGCATATGTAAATTAATCCTTTGCACTCGAGAGGTGACCCTCAGTCGTCATTTAATCAGAACTTAAAGATCGATGTTAACTAATATATGAAATTTAAAATTACCCAAGGATGCGTGGAATGTCAAAGTAAAATAATTCTACGTCTTAATTTGCAAACAATTTCTTATTTGCCGTTTTAAAAATATCGTCAACTTTATTTCAGAAAATCTACGAATTACTATTTTTCTGTGACGAAAAATTCGCCGAGTGCAAAGGGTTAACTACCAAAAATTTGTTCCTTGTCAACCTTAAACAGTCGTAGCTCGATTCACTCGTAGTTTTAAAATTTCCTATATAAATGTAACGCAATTATGCATCTTGTTGAACAATATTATCCAATACATGAAAATATTTGATGTAGGTTTACACGATTTTAATCCGGCTTCCGACAAGAGATACCAGTGGCATAGGAAAGTATACAGAGGGCCCAAGCATAAAAATGTATCACGACGAAGCAGTGAGCCCTTCGATGATCACCAGAAGACCATCTCACATGCCCGACATAGGGATTCCCCTGAACACGAAAACCATTCCTAAGGCGTTGGGGAGCAAACCGGCCGCGAACAAAACGACGAACAAGAAGAAAAAGAAGTTGCAGGAAAAGAAGGCGGACCGTAAAGCGGCGAAGACTTTATCGGCCATCTTGTTGGCATTCATCATCACTTGGACACCGTACAATATTCTCGTTCTAATAAAATCCATCACAGCCTGCTCTTGGTACATCCCGCAAGAGCTCTGGGACTTTTTCTATTACCTTTGTTATATCAACAGTACTGTGAATCCAATGTGTTACGCCCTGTGCAATGCGGCATTCCGACGAACATACGTGAGGATCCTCAAGTGCAAGTGGCATAACAGAAACAGAGCCGCGATTGACAGAGGATGATATCAGTAGAAACGCCTTGCGTGCGACATCTGCACGCTCATAGGCGTACTATCTTCTCTATCGTTTTCTCTCTTCTCCTTTTTAATCATTCCTCCAGACGTGCTTGCCAACGATAGGGAAACTGAGTTGCTTCGATTTCTAGCGGAACCCGCAGAACGTTTGCGTGACAGTAGTCATTTTCCACATTTTCCTTCCATATTCCTGCCTGCTCCATTGTTGTCGTTAAATGCAATTCAGACAAACTTATTTGCTATCACTCTTACAAAGTCATACTTCGTTTTCTTTTATTTAAACAATTTCGTTAGACAGGTATTAGATTATCGCGCAATTACATTATTACCTCTTGATTCTATTCTTCATAGGCAAGTAACAAGGTTAGAATTGTTGGAACGCGGTAAGAATTGCCATTTTCATATTAGGCGAACTTTCGAAAAATACGCAAATCAAAAGGGAGTTCAAGAAATTTACAGTTGCTTTGCTCGAAAATTTCATTTCGTATTTTAGATGTTAGATTAGAGGAAAACAGGGTGTTTACAACTCCATTTGATAAATTTAATAAAGCTCATTCTGTATAGAATATCTGTATTTTATAATATTTCTACCATTCACTTTATCATGTGTTTTCCAAGTTCAGACTCTGTTTCATACATATTAGATTAAAATGAGTAACATAAACATTTTCATTTATATTTATCCGTTTCATTTCTATCGGATTTCTATCAAAGAAGAGAAAACATGATTTTGAATTACATCGTTGAATCTGAATAATTAGAAGGAGACCGAAATCATTTATTGGTCGGTGGCATAAAAATAGCTTTTATTTCGAAATGTCGGAAATCGGAAGAAGTTCTGAAATGTTTACGGTTAAACAACTCAGATTTCCACATTTGAGGCAATGCAACGTAAATACTGCCATGAAAAATAATCTTTATAAATATATTTCAGAACCGTACAAAGGAGAGATGAAAAGGGGAGTATATAACAGGCACGTACGCGACACAGTGCCAAATTTGTGACTCGATTTAAGCGGCAATCGTGCGATGGAACCAGAGACATTGGCTTGCCGCAGATCGAGTCTTTTTTTCTATAGTTCGTGAAACAAAATCAGTTTCTGCGAAAACGTTACTGCAAGACGTAATCTATCCGATCATACGAAAATACATGGAATAAACGAAGCATCGTTATTAAATAAATTTAATCATTAATTCCGAATTAAATCAAAATCATTTTTGGTCGGCAAATATACATATATACATATATATAAATAACGAGTGAAACTATTTAATATTTTCAAACGTAGAAGCATCGATATATAGACAGAGAAGGATGAGAAATTTTCGTCTGACATAAATTTTCAATTTAACAGAATAAAACGTTTAAGAAACTGATTAAATTTCGCGAACCTCCTACAAAGCTATACCGCACAAAGAACGAAATCTATTCGAATTCTAAGGAAAAGTTAATAAACAGGCATTTCTCGTGCGTTTTATTCGAGGAACAACGCACTCGATGTACATTTTAAATAGTAGTCCAGTTGTAAATGAGTGTTTTAAGTGTAATTAGTTATGGAGAAAAACCAAGCGCTATTATAAATAGAGAGTGTATCACAACTATAATGGCAACAAAGTGGATAAAAACAGCGCTGCATCGATTCTTTCGTGTTAAGAAATGTTCTCACACTTTCGTATTAAATAACATTCTAATCACACGTGCCAAACGAAGCTTTAAGGTATCAATAGTTTAGAAACGGTAATTTAATAAATGTGTCCTTTCACAAGTATACTTCTATTAAATATATAGATAACGACTTAAAACATTTACTATCGTTATTTTTTATTACAAAAGTTTCTTACGAAATTTTTATTATATATAATTTTTCGTGTAAAATACATCATTTTGTATTACTTTACACAGTACTTTTCGGAAAACTGGATATGGTCAAATGATAAATGAAATTTCATAAAAATACATATATCCTATAAACGTTTTATAGTATTATGAACCATAACGTGTAATAACGGTACCTTTATTCTGTTGAAAAGATGATCAACTTTCAGATCAACGTTTGTTTTAATGGAATGTTATATTTCGTTTTTCTGTACATGATAGCCACTTTAAAGACAAATCGAACAACCTACAATATTGAGCTCTTGAATATCTATATTAGTAATAATTAAATAAAATATTTAATCTTTAATTTTTAAGGCAAGCTTCATTGATTTTATTCGTCAGTGTGTTATAAGTAACATATAGTTTCTTAATTACGTTTATATATTTAACGCAAATGTTTAAAATGACCGTTTTCGAGTAACAATACGTTTTAAACGTATTGTCATTGGGTCATCGAACAGATTGCATTACTTAATGAAACGATGCGTTATTTCGTCATACGACAATCGGGCAAACGCTGTGATAATTCGTTGTATCATATATTACAGTGTTGTAAGTGATTTCTGAAACATACTGTATCCCATAGAAAATAATCGAGAACAGCTAAATATGACGATTCTAATCGCCAATTTATATAACTATTCTAGTTAATCTATTTAGAAATATTTCGTTTAGTTTATTTATTATTATTATTTTTAGCGTTAATATTCGTAGTTGGAAATCTTCCAGAACGCTGAAGAATTTATTTGATTAATAAAAACGAAATTACAGTGACGAACGAGTAAAACGTTCTCAAGAGTTGAAGATTAAATAAAATATTACTTCGCAATTGTATCGGAAATTAAAGAGAATTTTGTTTGTACAACCTTTTATGATATTGAAGTTTTAAATGTTGTAGGTCATTGAATTTGCTCCCAAAGTGGCTACTATGTACAGATTGAAACAGGATAAATTTCTATTTAAGAAAAGAAGATTAACCCTTTTGTCCCATTAACTGTTTCCTTTTCGATACAATAAACGTATCGTTATCATACGTTAATATTTCATAATATTTAATTGCAGTAAATATTCTAAATGATAAAGTGAAATGAAATATTCTATATGTAATTACAAATTATATTTAGTCTTATATCTTTTTGTTTCTATCTTTTATTTTTTTTTTCTTTTTGAGTAAATCTAGATAGCTTTTTACTGTAGTTTCAAAAATATCTAATTGAATATCTAGTTGAAAATTTACGTTTATATCGGTGGACAACTTACGCGCCTGAAATTATTCATTGTGTCATTAACGAAAAGTGGTACAGTTCATTCGACGAGACTTTAAACAAGGGAAAATTATAATGACTTATTTAGACACTATAGTTACGAAATGATTTTACATCCAATTTGATATAGAAGAATAACGTTTCAGTTGTATTACAAAAACTTTTGTAAAAAAAATCAGTTCTTCAAATGACTTACATTCTCTAAAATACCTTATATTTTAGAATTTTACTTTTCAAGCAGCAGAATTAGTTTAAATTTTCGCATAATGAAAGAATTTATTTTCAAAAGTAATTTAACGTTAATTCGATAATAAACTATTCATGCCACCGATGCGATAGTAATAATATTTGATATTTAACTACAGTTACTGTAAATATTAATTATTGAGGTTGTCCTGGATTGTTATTAAATTCTGTTCAAGAACGTAAGAACAAAATAACAATTTTTTAACGATAAAGTCATATTTTTTGCAAAAATAGTCTTCATTCAGATTTACTGTAATTTTTTGTTATTGCCCCTTTATCTATATTTTTTATTTTATATTTATATTTATTTATATGCAATTTTTTTCTACATTTTTTCAAAATGATGCACTAACCAATTCATCATACGAATTTTAGGTTCACAAAGTACTCGTTTAAACATTAAAATAGAATATAATACACTTTTGACAAAAAATAATAATTATACGAGTTTGATGTTCATTTTCTAAATTGGACATAACTATTTTAATTTTTCAATATTTGTATCACTCGATCAAAGTTGATAAATCTTAATTAACTTCTTTACACAACCATAATATATCAATACCGCTCAGTAACTTAATAAAGTTTCAGATTAATTTTAATATAAAATAATTAAGTTATTCAATAAGAATAATTCGGGATATTTAAAAATTACAGGTCAGATAATCAAAAGAATAACAAGTGGTAATGAAAAAAGTATATTTTATTGACATATTTAATTGTCCTTTACTTTTTTTTGTCAAAAATTTATAAATTTAACGAGCAGTTCAGTGAGTAATTCTCTGTGCATAAGCGATATACTATATCTCCGAAAAGTTTCAATAAAATTCTAAATTGGAAATTGTTATGAGAATGTTATAAATAATATCAATATTATAACTACGTAATTAACAACAAATCTCGAATGCAAGAATAGAACAACGTAATCTTCGCACGAAGAATATGAAATCTATTATAAAAAATTTAACTCATAAAAACGATTGTTGTCACACGAGTCCCTTGGCAGCACGAACTTTACATTTCATTTTACATTAATACGTCTTAAATTTGTTATTTTACTTTTTTATTTTTATTTCATTTCGTATATATCAATTTCATTTAAAAAAATTTATTTATTATTACAGTTATTAAACATTGTCTGTTTATTTCTCTTATATGCTATAAATCCAAAGATTAAAATTTAATTCAAATGCTTGAATCAATTAATTAATGATATGTAATACGTAATTCATATTTATAATTGTATTTTAATATTTATTATTGTAAATACGTTACTTTAACTATTCGAATATTTACTATCACCAATTTCAATTATCTGAATTTATCTTTTCTATTTCTAAAATATTATTCTGTATATGCACGCGATATATGTGTCATCCGATTTTCGTCTAAGCAATAAATGTTGTTTCGTCAAATTATTATAACAAAAATTCTATTGAGACAAAATTATCGTGAAAATTAAATTTGAATATTTACATTTTTCTGACTCGTAATCTAAGATACACGGTAATTTTTGTAATTTGCGATAATCTAATTTACAAATCTGTAATACAATATAATATAGAGTATATAAAGATTGATAAAATATAAAATATCTATGCTCGTTCCAAAGTTCTTGTATCGAGATACATGTTCATTGTGAATTTCATTGAAGCATAAATTATCAATGCTAAAACTTCTGTATGTTCATACAATACTTCCTACGCTGAAAATACATTCACCGTTATTCTAAATTTCTTACTATATTTTATAAATCTTGAATTCCATTGAATTCCACGTTCAAATGAATATTTTACAAATAACTGTGTATATGTATCGTGCTGTTAATTTTTATTACGTACTACAAACTAGTCGACAAAGTCGACAAAATAGATGTAGAAAATTATGACAACCCTTGAAGGAAAGCCAATTCCGTTTACATTCGCGATAAAGTACAAATTGTTCCATTTCCATATTCTAAAATGATTTTCCATCGTTGAAACGAATATAACTACTCGAACGATGAAAGAATCGAAAGTACACATTTATTAATCAAACACACGGTCAGCTTCTCACCAGTCGCGTTTCTTCGAAAGAGCGTATCGATATTCTACATTCCCCCGAAGGACGGCATATTTTCTAACGCAATCGATATTAATATTCAGTATACCTTCGACGTTTATCTTATTTGTCTTGTACTTGTTACTTAGAACGTGTATATTTGTAAATACGTATACGAGAAACTGTTCGATGTTTAATATTTAAAAAGCGTCTACCTTTCAGGTGGAAGAAAGTCAACGGGGAAAGGAGCATAATACGTGTACAGAAAGCGTTCTCAAAGAAATACGTTTCACGATGCGACTGCTGGGAAGTTCTCCTATATCTATGTAAATGGTGGCGATCGTTGCCAGTTCGAATAAAGGATTCGTGCAGAGGGAAATTATTGCGCAAAATGGTGCGCGCAACTTGTTTGTCTAGAAAGTCTGATCAAGTAACGTCGTTTAGAATATTTCTCTGTAAATAAAATAATCGTATACAAAAAGAACGCGCGAAATCATTCCACCTCGACGAATGTCGAGAAGTGATCACAAAGCAGATGATCCGTGATCGGTTAAACGAGATTACGTATTTTCTTTTTCTCTTTTTTCATCGAACTTCGAGCTCCACGTGCCTCGAAAACGAAAGATTTAAAGGATAATTTCGGACTCTCGATTAACTCCTTTCGCTACGAACGACTATAGCGAATCTGTCCTTTTGTACAAATGACCAATATACAGAGTAAACTCCATAGGAACGACTTAGTTCGCTATTGAAATACTTTATTTCTCTCCAAAATAGTCTATAAATAAATGTTAAAGAATAGTGTGAAATTATAATTAATTTTTTCTATCGAAGAATTTTAAACAGGTAGATGAATTTCTATCGGTACTGCGTATTCGTCAGTTTCGTCGCAAAAGGGTTAAATTTCTCGATAAAAATTTGAACGTTTATATTTTTCGTTAAATCTTCATGAAACTATTACCAGTGGCCTGCTGAGAATTTTCTCGTTCAGATTATATTTATAGTTCAAATTATTTGTTACTCTTCGTATTTTCAGTTATATCGGTTAGTTTAACTCGAACAATGTTACGTTTGGAATATTTTTTACACGAATTTTCCCAATATCTAGTGAAAAAGTTCTAAATTTGCAGGACAAGATTTGCAATGCATCGAAAACAGTTTCATGAATATTTGACCGGAAATATAAAAATTCAAAATTTAATGGGCAACTTGTCGGGTCTTATCTCTTTGATCTATCGTTAAATTCTCACGATGGCTTCGCGAAAC